TATATATATATATATATATATATATGGGCCATTCCACGCCGAATCGCACAAGTTTGCATCTCGACCGCTTGGATTTTTTTCATTCTTCGGCCACTTGTAGCACTTGATACCGGATTTTAAAATCGAAAGAGTTTACCTCAAAAAGTGCGTTGGCGACGAAGTTAGATCGTTCTAAAGTGCGAAAAAAAGTGCGATTCACCCTTGACATGGTCATCATTGTATTTTCCTTTATCCGCTATAAAATTTTTTGATTTTCACTTCTTTTGAAAGCTTGTCTCCTGCAGATTCAGAAAAACTGATAAAACGAGTTATACTAGCAAATTTTATGCTGAAGTAAAATAAAAACGAAAAGTCAAAACAGTTTTTTTCCAAAACTGACATTTTAAATTTTTTAAAGAAGATATATTTCTTAAAGACATATTTTCTACAAATATGAAAATTATAAGGTGTTATCTTTCTGACATCAAGACTTATGGTACGATAGGTGATAGTAGACTGGAAAAAACCTCTAATTCAAGCAGCATTTTGGCGCTTTCGCAAGCCTTAGACCCTCTATTTCTACTAAAATTTAATTTGTTTCTTTAGTATATGTGATTCTTGTAAAACTTTTTGGGTCGAATACTTCAGTAACGGAAAATTAGTTAAAGTTTATTTACTTTTACACAATTTCACAAAATTTTATTGTAGGAAAATTTACTGTTATGATTACTTCCGGGTTGTGTCGCTCTGCTTGCTTATTGAACCCTTCTAACCCATATACATCACGCTCAGTACTTTGTTTTTGATTGTAAGTATTGTTTTGCTACTTTTGTTCTTAGGACTGTGTAGCATAATGTAGTGGAATTTTTTATTCGTTTTATTGTTGAACGTACTCAAAAATCCAATGCTGAAAATGCTCATTGCTTTCTGTATTCTTGTGAAAGTAATGAAATCATTGCGAGTATTGTTCTTCTTTTGTTGCCGTAGTGCATTAATTTCAGACTTGGAAACATATTGAGAAGAATAGCAACGACGTCCGGCATGAAAGGGACATTTTCAGTCTAAATCCTAACTCAGAATAACCTTTACAAATATGCTCCGAACAAATGAGAAGAAGTACTAGTAAATTCATTACTTTCACAAGAACATGAAGAGCAATGGGACACTTCCAGAGCCGCGTTTTCAAGCGCATTCACCAGTCAAACGTATAAAAAATTTCACTGTATTGTTTTACAAAGCCCTAAGAACAAAAGTAGCAAAACAGTACTCGCAGTCAAAATAGTATTTAGTGTGATGTGTATGGGTTAGAAGGGTTCAATAAGCAAGCAAAGCAATATAAACCGGAAGTAATCATAATAGTAAACTTCTCTAAAAAAAATTTTGTGGAATTGTTCGAATGTAAATAAAATTTAACTAATTTTCCTTTACTGGAGTATTAGAATGAAAAGTCTTACAGGAATTTTATATACTACAAAAACAAATAAAATTTTAGTGGAAACAGA